ATAGGAGGAGCAGACGGTGAGTCGGCGGCGATGGAGGCTGTAACTGGAGACTGGAGGAAAGCCATTAGCGCCTGTTTGACATCGTGAGAGAGCAAGATGCTCAGATCTGTCGGAGTGGAGATGAGAGGTGATATCGATGAAGGCGGTAAAGAAGGTGGGGGGGCATGGAAGAGAAGTGGAAAGAGAAAGCTCAGCAAGGAAGAAGACCGCCGGACCGACCGACGGCCGCCTACTAGGAGGAGGTGGCTGGAAAACTAGGCGCAAAAATGGAAGGAAAAAAGGAAAAATCTAGAGAGAGAAACTTAGAGAGAGGAGAGAGCATTTATCTGTTGTGTCTGTCTGATGATGCTAGGTTAGTTGTCTTTTGTTGCTAGGTTAGTTGTGTTTTGTCGTTAGGTTAGTTGTCTGATGCTGCTAGGTTAGTTGTCTTTTGTTGCTAGGTTATTTTTCTGATGCTGCTAGATTAGTTGTCTTTTGTTGCTAGGTAAGTTATCTGTAGTTGCTAGGTTAGTTCTATGTAGTTGCTAGGTTAGTTCTATGTAGTTGCTAGGTTAGTTGTCTGTTGTTGCTAAGAGTTGTGCACATTTTAAGATCTGTGCGCATTTTAAGAGTTGTCCGCTAAATGGACGGCCCAGTGTTCGTTCCATTTTTGTTAGTGTTTTCGTGTTTATTTTATGTTTATTTTTCCCACTTTAGGTGTTTCTTCTTAGCCCTTGGTCCATTTTGAGTCTCGTCTTGCATTTCTTTTGTTTTGTTCGTTTTTGGTCTTTTTGTTTCTTTTCTCCGGTTTTTCCGTTCGTTTCTTGTTGGTGGTGTGCAGGATGAATCGCTCGAGGAATGACCATGCGTGGGCTACTACATGAATGGATGAGTTGGGGTCGAGTGGGAAAAGACGGAATCCAATTCCGGGTCCAGAGGCGTGGATACGAGCCAGAAATCACAGCCGGGTCGCCGAAATCCTTCACCGCGGCCCGCGACAATGTTCCCGCGACCGCGGTGAACAAATTCCCCAGCGCCCAGTTTTAGTCGCCGCGGCCCGCGACAATTCCTTCACCGCGGCCCGCGGCGAATAAAATGCTGCCAGAAAACAGCACTTCAGGCCGAACATTCCCGCGGCCGCGGAAGTTTCTTCACCGCGGGCCGCGAAGGCCGCGATTTTCAGAATTTTAAAGTCAGATTTTGGGATCGTTTTTCATTATGTTCTATGTTAGGTTTTGTTCTTTGGAGTACGAAAAAAGTTCCAGAACTCATATTTTTCACTTTCTTGTCTTGGGGATCAATCTTGAGGGTGGAAACTTAGAGATTTGACTCTTGGATTTGGTTTTTCTATTGTTCTCGACATTGGATTCGTTAATCGTAAGCTTTACTTTCGTTTTTCTTTCGATTGAGATGGCTTTGATTATTGAATATGTTGATGTTGAATGCATGATGAGTAGCTAAATTCACTAGCTAGGGGTAGGGGATTATCGGTCCGGTTCGATTTCGTTTAAATGCTTGGTAATTGCTCATCTTTTCGAGTTGTGCTTAACCTAGGGTTTGGATGCTTGATCTCCATCTTAATCTAATTAATCAATTTAAAAACTGAAAGTGGATAAATTGTTCGATCTAGGCTCGTTAAGAATAGGCTTGTTCGGTAACGTATTGCCTAAGTGCTAATTGATTCGTGATTGATTTATTTATGTTTATTCTCTTGTTTCGTGAGATATTGAGAATGAGTCTCTGGATGAGTTAGTTTATTGAGTCCTTTAGCCGAGTAATTCATTATCTGCTAAATGCATTGAGAACCGGAAGCGAGATCCCCGATACCCTAGCGCTTTTATCATAATTGTTCTTCGTCCTTGCTTACTATTTTCTCTGCTTTGTTTAATTATTTGAAGTAGCTGATAACTGAAAACCCATCCAACTATTTGGTTTAGAATGTTTAGGAATTTGATTTCTTTTAATTGTGTGGAGTAAACGTGCTTAATAGTCCGGCTAACCTTCCTTGCGATACGACCCGGTGTCGAATCTTTCGATTCTACTCCGGTAAAAATACTAACAACAAAATTGGCGCCGTTGCCGGGGAGGGTTTAGGATTATTTTGTGCGCCTATTCATTTTATTTTCAGTGTTTCTCTTCGTTTTATTTTACTAGTTTATCTGTTCTTGATTTTATTTGTCCTTTGTTTTTCTTAGGTTTCTCTTCTTTGTTTATCTGGTGCTCGTGACGGTTTCTTGTCTTT